AGTATCATTTTCATCGTTTGGAAGATGGGAATAAAACATGATACCTGTGTCTTAAGTTTAGTCACAAGAAATGAGGACCTCACTCATGCAACGTGCCCTGGGTCTGGCACAGAGCAAGCTCTCATAAATGTCCTTTCTAGTATTGTAATTATGCATAGTAACACAGCTACCATTTATTCACTGATTATATGTCAAGTGACTTTTATGATCACTTTTTAACATTATCACCATTATGGTGTTTTTATCATGTCAGAGAGTAGGTCTTCTTCAGAATTCAGGTTCTTAACTAGACAGCCCTGTTCATGGGCCTCAGAGGTCTAGGACTCCTCAAGTGGTAGTTGGAATTTGGGGCATATTCCTAGAGCATATACACTTTCCCTGGGGACAGCACTTCTAGCTTCCATGTAATTCTCAAATGGGTTTAGAACCTCTGCCCTAGGAAACCAAGAACTCCAGGACATGAGGAGATCAGGGGTCCTCAGGTTAATCTTGATCCTACCATGTACTGCCCTCAGTTTCCACATCTGTAAAATGGCTTTGACACTCTCTGATTCAACAGGAAGTGCCAGGGATTGTATCTGGGGCACACTGCTGGCAAGGACACTAAATTCATTTCCCACCTGTCACTGAGGGGGTAGGTGCAAGCCCAGGGCAGCGAGAGAGTGGTGAGTTAGTTTGAGGAGTAGGAACAAAGCTTTCAACCAGCTGGTGAAGCCAGATTATAAAGATGGTGTTGTTAACAAAATCGATTCTCCAGAGGCCAAAGACAGACTAGGCTTTATATGTGCACAGTGCAAAATTTAAAAATAGAAGTTAGGGGATAGACTGGTTTCTTCACTAGCATCAAAGTAAAATGGGTAGGTGTTCATCTAGGATTTAAGATCAGAGACCATAGTTCAAAAAACTTCACTCTGCCACTCACTGGCTGCCATATTTTGGGCAAGTCATGTTATCTCTCTGAGCCTCAGTAAAATGTTGTGTCTTCAGATACCAACACAGTGCCTGTCACTAGCAGGTGCTCAAGCAAGCCTGGCTGAATATCTGTTGAGCAATCCTGGTTGAATATCTGAATTTAAGGAATGAATGCAAAGATCCGACTCTCAGGAGACAGATGTAGGCTGAAGTCATGACTTGGAAATCAGTGGCTTATAGAGTCATAAAAATGGACAGGAACTAGCTCTATCATTTAAGACAGGGGCAACAAATTGTAGCCCCTGGGCCGAATCCAGCCTGTCTCCTATTTTTATAAATAAAGCTTTATTGAAACACATCTATGCCCATTTGTTCACATATGGACTGTGGCTATTTTGGTGCTACAATGGCAGGATTGAGTAGCATGGCAGAGACCATCTGGCCCTCACACCTAAAAGCTGTCTGTACTCTATAGAAAAAAATTTGCTGACTTTTGATTGGATTTAAGGGTCTGAAAGAGGAACTTGCAAAAGAGAAGTGCGTGGGAAGAGTGGCCAGGAAGACAAACTTCATTTCTGCATCCTCAACTTGAACTTCCTCACTGGACCAAAAGAGAGGGTGGGGGCAGTGTCTCACCTTCGTGCTCTGGCAGGACTGAGCTCCCGGCAGGCCTTGTCTCTCTCCCAGCTGTTGGTGCCCAAGGCCTCAGTGGCCAGATGCTGGTTCAGCTTCTCCGAGGGTCCATCCTGAGCTGGAACCAGAGGGCTGCTCTGGGGTTCTGTCCTACAGGGGAACAAATAAGGAGACAGAAACTGTTAGGATATGAGAGATTCTTTTTTTTTTTTTTTAAGGGAGAGAGAGAGTGTGCACCTGAGTGGGGGTGGGGAGGGGCAGGAGAGGGAGAAAGAGAATCTTATAGCTCAGGGCTCCACCTCACAACCCTGAGATCACGACCTGAGCTCAAATCAAGAGTTGGATGCTGAACCGACTGAGTCACCCAGGTGCCCCAGGATAGGACAGATTCTTAACGTTAATCAAACATTCACACACCTCCTGATATTTCCCAACTTTCCTTGCAGTTAGGTTGGGACAATGAAAGATTATCTTGACCACTGGTCTCTGGGTGGGCATGACATGTGTCACTTCTGGCTTGAGGTAATAAGGTCTGTGTACCTTCCCCAGCTCTCTCTCCCTCTATTGCAGTGATGTTGGAGGCCACATACCCTGAAAGGTGAAGCTACTTGGTGGAGGAGAGATGCCTGAGCCGCATCAGACTTTGTATGTTAGAAATAAACCTTAGTTGGGTTAAGCCGCTGAAATTTAGGGGCTTACTTGTTACTGCGGCATTGCTGGGCCTACCCTGACTGAACCACAGGAAGGGTCTGGAAACCAGTGTTTCACTTCCTTGCTCAAAACATAAGTGGAGGCCAAAGCATGATAGGATTGGTTCCAATTCCCCTTTGTCTGTTCTGTCCCATTTCCCTGCCTTATCTCTGTATGGAATGGATATCCCTGGATTCAAACTCTGTTCCCCGTTTAGTAGATAGAGGACTCAGTTTCTCTGTCTTGCATCCTCACTGATTAAGATAGGGAATAACATTAGTCCTTATATTGTTGAGTTGTTATGAAAATAAAATGAGATACCATAAAGCAAACAGAAAGGCCGTTCCATTTCCCTTTACTTCCTTGTGAACCAAACCTCCACTCTGGTGTCCCTAGCAGGTGGAAGGCCACCTAGTTGGGATGCAATCCCCGTGAAGGCCTGAGGTTCCCTCCTCTGCCTCTGAGAAGAGCCCCAGGCAACTCTAGGAAATTACCTGAGTCCCACCTCCTTCGTTGAGTCCCAGAAAGGGGAAGGAAGTCGCCTAGGTACTCAGTCTTTAAAAACACCGTCACTCACACCTCCTGGCCCCCAACCAAGAGTCATCAGGAGTTGGAGAGGCACAGGTGGATTTGGCACCATCCAGCAAACTCCCCTCCCTCCTCACCCTGCCCACAGGGTCCAGATCAAGCACTGATCAAAGACATTAGTATTTCTCCTGCACCAAGCACCTGTAGTGAACCCAGATTGGTTTTATGACTCAGGGTGAATGCAGCTGATAAGCCCCCTGCTCCTTAGGGCTGCCCAGAGAGCAGGCCAAATCCAGTCAATATTGAAGGAAGGGCAGCCAAACAAATCCATCTCTGTCAGCTGCTTATCAGTGCATCTTTAGAAGCAGAGCTGAGAGAGGCTGCAAGCCCAGGAGGGATGGAGAGTCTTGTCAGGGCTGTCCAGCCCTCCTCACTGCCACCTCTGGGCTTCCAGACCTCCCGGGTTCCCTACACCTCCCGCCCTGCTTCTCCTACTATGAGGGGTCCGTTCCCATGCCTCCAGTCTACTCATGTGGAATGCTGTCCTGACTCTCCTCAAATGACTCCGAACTTGCCATGGCCGCCCAGCCCCCAGCAAGGCTTGCCTTTCCCCATGCTTGACCTGACCTGGCCTAACTTGTGTTCCAGGCCAGTTCTAAGTGTGGGGCTGCAGCAAATAAGAGGGAGATGTCCTCTGTGATAATGGAGTTTACATTCTAGATGAGGAAGCAGGTATAAGCATATATGCAAGTACTAATATGACTTATTGGATGGTAATAAATTATGGAGAGAATAAGCCCGTGGAATGGGAGGGGGTGACTGTTCTTTTGTTCAGGGTATCAGGCAGGCCACTCTGAGGATGTCACAGGATGGAGGCTTAAAGGATTAGGGACTAACCTTGCAGTTTGTGGTGGTTTTAAAATGTGTTCACAGATTCTTTGACAGCTCTGCCATCAAAAGATGAAACCCAATTTCCCTCCCCTTGAATACTGGCTGGGCTTAGTGATTCACTTTTAATGACCAGAAGGTAGTAGAAGCGATAACGCATGATTTCCAAGACTAGGTCACAGAGGCAGCTTCTGCCTCGCTCCCTTTGGATTGATCACTTGAGGGAAGCTGCCGGCATGGTGTGAGGACACTCAGGCAGCCCTGTGGAACAGCCCTTGTGAAGAACAGCTGAGGCTTCCTGCCAAAAGCCAAGCACCCACCAGCCACGTGGGCACGCCACCTTGGAAGTGGATCCTCGAGCCCCAGTCAAGCCTCAGATGAGACTGCGGCCCTGGCCGACATCGGACTGCAGTCCCATGTGAGATGGTCAGCGGGAGTTGCCCAGCCAAATTCTTGACTCGCAGAAACCGTGTGATGTTGTTTGTTGCTGTTCTAAGCCAAAAAGGTGTGGCGGGATAATTTGTGGCCCAGTAACAGACAAGTTCTACACAGGTCATCTGCGGGAAGTGGGAAATGCACTCGAGACAGAAGGAATGGCAGGTTCTTTATATACATGTAAAGAATGGCAAGCAGGGCTAGAGCGAACAGAGGGGAGACCAGAAATCGGGTCTTGCAGGTCATGAGACTCTGCGGCTGAGACGGAATGCCTTTTGAACAGGGGAGTGACCTGGTCTGGCTTAATTTTACAAGGATCGCTCACCAGTTGCTGAAGACACTGGACAGAGGGAGGAGCAACAGAGATGGGGAGACTAAGGCAACTGTCCAGGCTCTGATCAGTGGATCAGGGATGAAGGTGATGAGATGTGGTCAGGTTCTGAGATTTGAAAGCAGAACTTGCATCATTTGCTGCTTGTCAAACACGGGATGGGAGAGAAGAAGGGAAAGGGAGGGGTCAAGGATGATTCCAGGGTTTTGAGCCCGAGCAACCGGCAGGACAGAGTCCCCACTGATGAGGTGGAGATGCTGATGTTGGGAGCAGATTTCTGGGGCGATCTAAGCCCTGTTCTAGGATGTGAGTCCCTTTGCTACTATGACTACAGCTCCAAATAGGTGCTATGGATGTCTGATTGTCTTCTCTCACACTGGACTCTGAGCTCCCTGGGAGTGGGACTGTGTCTCACCGCCCCAGGACCCACCACGTGGTAAACACTCAACATTTGCTCAGTGAATAAATGAAAGAGCACATGCATTGGCTAAAGAGAACAGGTATTTGTTTCAAAAAGTTAGAAAGGGCTTTTGAGATGGCCTGAGTGAATCCCTTCATGTTACAGTTGGTGGAGATAAACCAGCCACTGCCTCGGCCAACTCAGACAGCTCAGGCAATGCATTTTCTACTCTACCCCATATTTCTCTTAGAAAAGTGATCAGTGAACTTATCAACATATGAGTGTATTGCCCAGGAGGGCCTTGAGCTGGACGCACACAAGAACGGAATTTTGGACTCTGGGGCATTATAGGAAACCATTACACAAATCTGTTATCAGAGACAAGCCCCAGATAGGAAAAAGACAAAAAACCAAAAAAAAAACCAAAACAAAACAACAAACTGATGTGAGCAATTTGGCAGCGAATTAATCCATGATGAGTGTAAGTGCTGGCATTGTGTGGAAGGTCTCAGTGACTTCGGCTAATGGCGGGGGGGGGGGTGGAGGCACGGGTTATCTGCAGTGCAGGGACAGATGGGGAATGCTCCTGCCAGGCACTGGGGGACGGGGCTTGGGGTGAGGATGACGCCTCCCCCATCCCTGCTGGCGTCAGGGATGGGCAAATCCCGATGATGGTTTGATGAGGAAAGGTACGATGGAGTTGCTGCATTTATAATCTGACACTCCCTGACATGGTGGATGGTCCTCACTTTCTTTCTTTCCTTTTTTTTTTTTTTTTTTTAAGATTTTATTTATTTATTTGAGAGACAGAGAGCACAAGTAGGCCAAGAGGCAGAGGGAGAGGGAGAAACAGGCTCTCCGCTGAGCAGGGGGCCCAATGTGGGGCTTGAGCCCGGGACCCTGGGATCATGACCTGAGCCGAAGGCAGACGCTTAACTGACTGAGCCACCCAGGTGCCCCTAGTTCTTATTTTCTATAGCATTTCTGTAGCACCTTCCTTGCAGAAAGTACCCATTCTGGGATCTTGCAATAAAACAAACAAAAAACAAACAAAACCAGAATTAATTCTTCTACCTGGCAGATAGGGAGTTGTGAGGGATGGAAGAAAGGAAAACTCCATAATATCATAGAACTTTTAAGATCCTTTTTAAAGATGTTCTGACACGTTGCTTTTCTGCTTTCTTAAAACTGAAAGAGACTCAGAGAACCATGTAGTCCCAGGTTTCTAAAACCTCGCACACCTTCAGAGGCTCCCAAGAAGCTGGTAAAAATACAGACATCTCAGTCCCATCCCAGCCATAAATACAAGTCTCAAAGGGGTGAAGCCAGGAAATATGCATCTTAAAGAAACATCCCTGGTAATCTCGCCTCCTCTGGATTAAGAGGAAGTCCTAACCGATTACCAGAACTAAAAGGCTCTGCCGGACCTGGCTTCTGCTCCCACTCTAGACCCCATCTGCTATTTTCCTCTCCATCCCTTACTCTGCTCGAGCCACATGGCTTCCTCACTGTCCCTCACATGGAACAGGGCCTTTGCTCAGAGCCTTTGCCCTTCTGTTCCCTCCACCTGGCATGCTGTTCCTGCAGTTCTTTGCAAGGCCACTTCCTTCCTTTCATCCAAATGTCACCTCCTCGGAGTGGCCCTCTCTGACCCGCTATGTGATTGTGCCCCTCTCTTCATTGCCTCCAGCATAGTAGTCTGCTGTGCCTTCCTCCAGGACATTTGTTACTATTTGAAATGACCATTTTATATGTTTATTTGCTAACCATTTGTCTTCTGGACTCCAACGTGAGCTTCATGAGAGTGGGAATTCACCTCTTTTCTCACCACTGAATCCCCAGGGATATAGTGCCTGGCACAGTGTACTTTTTGGCTCA